GAATAGACCATTGGAAAACTAAGAATGACTCAAATTGAGTTCTCCGAGGCAGATAGTCTTCAACAGCAGATAATTTTGTAGTCACAATATTGGTGATGGATGGGACCCCAAACCCCATTCCTTGAGCCAACGAAGCAAAAGATTTTGGGACTGAAGGAAGAACCGAGCGTGAACCACCCATCATGGATTGATTTGGAAGAACGAGGCCCGGACTACCGGATAGAGTTGGGCCGGCAAAACAAGAACGGGCTGCTGCAACCTCACTGGATTCCACATGCGACTCTCAGAGAGCAACAGTGGTTGCCTGAGGGCTGGAGGTTTGGGCCTCCACGAGAAGATAGGCGGAGTCCAGGAGGAGTATGTCGGTGCCGGAACAAACGCTAAGGAGAACAACGACGAAGGGAGAAGCGGATATGTCAGTGGGGGCGTTGTCTCGTGACCCACGTCGGACTGCACGGCTTCCGCGCTGAAGACCGGCGAATCGCTAGCCGGCGGCGAAGAAGAATTGGCCGCGGCGGCGGTAGACGATGCGGTTGCAGCGGCTGAGGTCATGATGGCCGGAAAAAAAAATTAAGACTGGCTAAAAACCTAGAGCTCAGATACCATGTGAGAATTAATGACAGGCTTACCAATGTGGTAGCCCTTGGTACAATAGGAATCCTATTACAAGGAAACTAATTAAATTAGGAGAAACCTAGTAGGATACTAAATACTCTATTACCATGGAGGTGGTTCCGGAGGGAGACGGGCTGACAATACTGCATCTTCTTCCTCACCCAACCACCTTGTGCATCACGTTCTCCTAGAATCCGCCCATCCAACCCTGAACGAGACTTGCACCAAACGGAAGCTTTGCACTAGGAATCATAATAACACTTACAAGAATCTCAATGCTACTCCAAAATCCTGCCTAAACAACCTTTGAGCACTACCACAGAGGGTAGACAAAAAATGTCGGACACAGTGAAAAAACTCACGGTAAGAAAGAGAAACCCTAGAATTCTAGGTAAACGACTGCACCAAGAAGAGGAGAGAAGTCTATGAACTTGGGACTCCTGTGATGCGCATATCAAGACGCAGCCACAAAAGTAATAATTAATTTGTCAGTTAGTCATTAGCTTTTAATACTTTATTAGTGCTAAGCTTTCAAAGTCCCGTCTAAGAGTTAAAAAATGAAATATTAGGGAATATTGCATTTAGATATTTAAATATTACATGAAGCACGTACAATACTTTAATATGCAAAATCAAAGATTAAAATAGAGTTCCGACCAATAGAATAATAGTGACTGTGAACTTTATTTTAGGAGGAAGTATTATTTTAGGATTAATTATCTTAATAGGAGTAAAACATTGAAAAAGTTCCCAATTAGAAGTTTAATGTTTGATAGCAATAAAAAATCTGTTGCTCGACCTAATGAAATTTTAGATGGGTCTATAATCACAACACAAAAAAAAGCCAAAACCCTAACAACCGTAATTGGTTCTGCTGCATCCACCAACCCAGCAACCAGCCTCCAACGTTGCCACCGATGCCGCCCTCCGGCGACTCCGCCTCGCTGCACTGTGACATCTCCGCCGCCACAGTCTCACTCTAGCATCCATTGTAATGCCGCCGACCTTCCGACGAGGCCCAAATTGCAATCTCTTCTTTGTCCTTAGATGACTGCCTCCTACGATGACGACAACTTCCTCCCTCCATTTCCTTCTCCGATGAAGTCGCTGTCACACAACAATGTCTTCCATCACCACTACTCTCTCTTCTGAAATGATTGGTACATACCTCTTACATGGAGAGGTTTTGGAATAAGTGCCTTTCTACTAGTGCAATGCCATTTCAATGATATATTTATAAGAATAGAAATAATGAATAATAATGTCATCTTTACATTAATAATGCCACATCAATGTTCTATTGCCATGTCTGAACTGAACGAAATTAATGCCACGAAAAATGACATTATTTAGTAAAATCATTTCCAGATTAAAAACATGGCATTATAAAATTAATATTGTCAACTTGGTAGATGCAATGCCAAAATATGGGATTACTTTCAATTGAATGTTGGAATCAAGAGTATTTACGAAAAAATAACATATTAGTTATGCCAATTTCAGATTCAAAACTCATTAGAAACAAATAAATTAGATAAAATTAAATTAAAAAGTAATAATAATTATATACAAAATATCAAATTAGACACTGATAAGAATATGAAAATTTTACATAATTGATCAAATCAATAAAAAACAAATTCAGAAATAATAATGAAGAAATTAGTAAATACAAGGATTTAACAAAATAAAATCAAAATAGAACATGAAGAAATCAAAAATTAGCGGAGAAGGAGAAGAATGAGAAGAAGAGAAGAGTGAGAGGAGAAGGACAAGGAGAAAGAAAAAAACTATATGGGACAAAGAAGAGAGATGCATGGCATCCGCCAAAGAGAGCTCCAAGCTGCGAAAAAGAGATACGGAGATCTGAATAGGGGAGATAGAGATGCGTGAGAGTGAGATGGCGAGAGGAGAGGAGACACAAGAAATGTAGATAAAGTCCTATTTAGAGAATAAAACATGAGAAGTCACATTTAGGAACTTTTTCTATGTTTTAATCCTATATAGGGTAATATCTAGTTATTTCATCATCCAGCGTGAGGAGTAGGTATCGCCTTATTTGAGTTTGGAGTTGGGTTCATCTCTTTGTAAGGTCCAAAACAAAACAAGAGTTCTGGTATGTTAGAGCACTTATACCACTTCTAGTGGTTAATGGATTATGAGAAATTTGGTAAAAGACCTATCGACGTAGAGTCTGATGCAGCTGGAGCCGTATCTGAAATTTTAAATGAGTCGAGTTGCTCTTTGATTGGTTTATTGAGAGACGACATAAGAGATTTGGCGAAATTTTTCTCGAGCATTTCATTTTGTCATATTAAGCGATCAGCGAATAAACCAATCGGTCCATTCCTTAGCTAGGATTACTTGTTCTTTGTCTGATTCCCGGTCTTGGCTCTATTCTCCTCCTCTTTTTATTGCGTCTGCTTTAGTCAACAATTTGATTAATGGTAATTAGTCAATTTCTTCCATACAAAAGGCCATCCTCCGTGGTTCAGATCCCTGATATCCAGTGGCGGAACTAGGGGGCGAGACGGTGCAGGCGCCCTTGTTCTTCGGTGGTGGTAGTGTATGTGTATATATGTGTTCTTAAACCCCCTGTGGCGGAATGAGCATAATTGCTCGTTGATATCGCGGGTTCAATTCCCCAATCCATCATTTGTTTTAATTTTATGCTTCTAGCTAGGCCTTGCATTTTCTTCATAGTCTTGAGTCCATTTTTTGCATTTTTACATACAACTCTACTAGTTTTCGTCAATTGGATGACTCCAAGTTGCTTGAATCACACTACAAATTTCTATTTTTTTTTATTTTACATTCTTATTTTTTCAATACAAATTATTTATCACTTTTTTTTTGTTTAATTATTTGTCCTTGATTATGGCCTCAAATTATTTGTCAATTCATTTGCACCTTTTATCTCAAAAAATAGTTCAATGGCCCCAAATTACATTTATAATGCAACCTTTAATTATTTCTATATAAAAATAAAGCAACGAGTTTTTAATAATGCAACCTTTAATTATTTCGAATAATGACATAGTATATCATTTCATGTGTAAATTATTAAGAATGATTCTCAACATAGTTTAACTTAACATAACTATTTATTTTTTCTTAGCCTAATACGGAGTACTTCTTAGCATTTTTATTTGAAACACGAAACACACTACACACACATATACAAGTATAAGTTTTGGACCAAGTAAAAAGAGTTCTTCTCAACTGGGAATAAATATTGTGCATTAAATTTGGGATTTGATGGCTCAAAATCAGCCAACAATGCACTACATTTTATTTGAAACGTGGTGACGATTTTGTAAATAAATCAAAGTTCTATAGCATATCCAAATGAATACCCGTTGGGTTACTGAGTCTGATACAGATCGGCCCATTACCCTTGGTCCTCTTGGTCATCTGGGACGATTGGGAGACGATCGACTTCAGGCTCCTCTGCCCAACACAGGCCAGATAATGTTCTGAGTCCCTCGGCCCCCAGCCCAAGCTGGCTGAATGCAATACGCTCGTCTTCACTCAGAAAGTACGAGCGGAGTCTCACCCTTGGCCCATCAAGGATCCACCAGCTTGGCTCATCAAGACGTTCGACCCTGGTTATGGCGGGAAATCAAGATACTTGCGGGAACAACATTTAATGCAGAAGATTTGTGGTTTGGAGCTAGTCATTCACAACCTCCACGTCAGCAACGTCACCTACCTCTTATTAGTATAAATAATAACATTTATTTCATTGTAGGGGGTTGGCAACTTAGCACTCTGGCATCATAGATTTGTAATCAACTCTTAGCATATTGTTGGACGAACGACCTCAGGACTTTGTAACGAAGTGCACACTGTATTCGGCTTCTCATTTAGACTTAATAAAATACGGCTACTTTCTACGGCTAAATAACTCTTCTCTTGCTTGTTTAATCACTCCCCAATCCACCAAAACCTTCCACTCGAGATCCAAAGGTACGTGTTGGATCTTTGGGTTGACGGAATAAAGCTCAACAAATACAAAGTGCACTCATCCATACTTTTTACCAGAATAAATTACTTTTCACTCGTTTTCCCTTAATTCTAATAACAAAATTATAAAAAAAATATACTTCCTTCGTCTCTTTTTAGTTGCAACGGTCAACATTTCACGTTTGTCAACGCACAACTTTAACCGTCATTATATTTAATTATGTATTAGTAAAAATAAAATAAAAATCAGATTATAAAACTTAGTAATGAGACAAATTTAACAATATTTTTCAAAAAAAAAATTACTTACATTAATAAATAAAATGTAGTCAAAGTAAAGTACATGAATAGTATATATATTCTAATGTTGTAATTAATGACAGGAGGATAGTATATAAGAGCACCCCTCACATTATTCTCCCATTGGGCTTCATGATCTTTCTCTTCCTAAAAATGGCGTCGAACCTTATCCTAAAACCTGAGAGCAGCAGCCGACTCGAGACTGAGGAGGAGGAAGCCGTCACAATAGTTAAAAGTTCAAGAAAAGAAGTGGATCTTGGGAACGGAAGCGAGGTGATCTATATATCCAAATTCTTATCCTACGACCAATCTTGGCATTATTTAGAATACCTTAACAAGAACATTCCTTGGACTCGACCCACCATTCGAGTATTCGGTCGACCCTTTCTACAGGTTTACGCATTTTATCATTAAACCATTGTTTTGTTTTGTTTGCTTATTGATCGTAACCAACCCATTTCTGATAATACTAGATTGTGTATTTTAAGGTTGAGTTAAGAGTGCAGGATAACAAATGTTCAAATGGTAACCTGATTTCTGGTTTGATAAAAAAAATTTGTGTGCGGAACTTATGTTCAGGGCCCGTGTTAAGTAAACAAAGACTCTGCACAACCAAATAAAAATTAGGCCTTTCTCGAACACGCTTTATATAAAAAAATTAGCAACCTAATAACATAATAATATCAATTTGTTAAACTGAACTATAAAATTAATACTAATAACTTAATAATATGAATTTGATCATTTGGTAAGTTCATTTATAAATTATCCAAATCTAAAAGAGAATAAGATCAATAAAACCACAATATATAAGACTAAATCACTTACCGATGGAATTTTCAGACTTATCTTCTATGCATCGGGTGGAGTATGTCAATTCATGAGTTACTATTGAGTATGTGACCTATTAGGCGGATGGACTCTAATGATATTGTTATTATTATTAATACTATTTAATTTTTATAGGCCTTACATGTTCAAGGGACCTGCGCAGTTGGGCTCCCCGAAGTAACATTATTACTTATGTATTTTACTTAGGCACCTGATTGCAATGCTTTTTTTCATCATTTGCAATGGAATCAAAGACTCAATATCTTTTGGTTTGGAAGTATGATGAACTAAAGCAAAATGGCTCATTAAGTCATCTGTGCTTCTTTGTTATGAAGCAACAGTCAGTCCATGCAATTTTCGACGCGAATTTCACTATGGGTCATTTGCAAACAGTCTCTCCACCCTTTAGTACAGGGTAAGACTGCGTACATCCAACCCCTTACCCCACCGTAGGTGGGAGCCTTTGCGGCATTGGGGTAATGATGATAATGATGATGATGACCTGATTGTAATGCTTGGAAATAAGGAATATGTATTACTCCACTGGTATATTGTTTTTTTTTTGTTTATTTCTTTCTTAAATTTAGTTTAGTTATATTTAATCTAATTTCTATGAGACCATGAGTATTTACATGATAAGTACTCCGTAGCACAGAAAAGCGAAACTGAAAATGTAAAACGGGAAACCGGAAAAGGGAAACACAAGAAATGTAATTTCTAAGACATATAGGACACGAAACGTGGGGAAACTCAAGAAATGTAATTTCTAAGACATATAGGACATGAAACGTGGTGAAACACATAAATATTAAAAAATACAAGGATATATACGTAACTATTTTTCATATATGTACACAGGTTTTTTATTTATATATGCACATAAACCTAGGATGTATGGTATTTTCTCAATTTCATTCCAAACAACGGATTGAACAACCATTCGATGGTGACTGGTTAGATAGAAAATCACGGTGACAAAGGAAATTACAAATGTCTATCTTTTTTCCTGTGGGTTCCCCGTTCTTCACAGTACTTCTTTTTACAGAAAACCATACTTATGTGGTTTAAACTCATAGAGGACATTTGGTGCCTTCCTTTCATTTAAATCCTTGGGAAGCTAAATAAGTTGTTCTCAGTAAAGTACTTGAAAGTAATTCCAATCAACCCTTGGTGGCAAAGGTATTCTCTAGTTTTCAAGGAATTTGACCAAACTTTTCCCTATCAATGTTATTACCCCATATGCGTGATGAAAAGTGTCCCACGTCGGCTCAAAGTGAATGAATGAACATCTTAATATTTAATAAGTGTTGAATAATGCTCATCTCTTGAGTTTTTTTTTTTGTAGTTAGGTGAGGCCCAACCTCCTGCTTACGAGTAGGAATATCTTTCCCGCCCTTTGAAATGTGAGGACACTTTTTAAAAATTGAGGCTAACAAACGACTTCTTACGGCAGCCTAGGGATACTTGCTACATTGCGGGTGAAGGGTTGCCAGACCTGGTTTACAGTGGATATCAACCACATGCATATTCTTGGGAAGAATTCCCTCCTCTCAAGGAGATTCTTGATGCTGTAAGAATGCTTTTCTTTCTATTTAATATGTGCACTCCAAATGCTTGCATGATTCATGATCAGATCTATCTTTTTTTAGTTTCTGTTTGATGTTATACAAATGCGCAGGTTCATAAAGCTATTCCCGGAACCTTCTTCAACAGCTTGCTTTTGAATAGGTACAAGGGAGGGAACGACTACGTTGGATGGCATGCTGATGATGAGAAACTTTATGGGCCCACTCCGGAAATAGCATCTGTATCCCTAGGATGTGAAAGGGACTTCTTTTTAAAAAAGAAACCAAATAAAATTTCCCGGGGTAAGGCATATGTCATACACAATATTTTATCTGCTCTTTAATAATCTTAGCTGTTAACTTTGACACTATTTACATATCCTATTTGACCATATGTTTCTTAATAATTATAAAAACTAATCCTATTATGTAAAAGTTTGTGAAAATTGTCTCAATTTATAATTCTAAAATATCACTCTCTATAATTTTTAAAGAATTGGTAAGTAAATATATTAATGGTTAAAGTCATGTCTTGAAAAATGTGAAAGTCAAACTTTTGGTATTAAAGAAGAACGAAGGAAGTATCATTGATGAATGTGTTCCAATTCTCCTTTGACTTATGCCAGTGTCTTGTTCAACTGAAGTGTGCGAGTACATTTCATGCAATAACTTGTATTCATGCTCAACGTTTATATAACTCCACCGGTCCACCCCCAAAGATGTCTTTTTAAAATTACTACGTGCTTAGTTTTTAGGCAATACGTCAAAGGGTTAATTGCATCTACCTTGCCCAAGGTTCAACAAAAAATAGCCCTTGAGGTTTCGAAAAAGGATAGTTATACTCATTATTTGTCCCAATATGTTTCAGAGAAAGATTTAAATATTTTAGTAACAAAAAAGTCATTAGAAAACATCAAATCCAGTGTATTGTCCTCAGTGCTGTTTGTAGGACATATTTAGGTGATTCTAATTCCTAAATACAAGTTACATATGTATTCGCACTCGATGATTATAAAAAAGGGGGTGTGAAGTTCAATGTCAAAATAAACATGGGGTGAAGGCAGAATCATGTGATTTACTTCGTAATAAGAAGTAAGAACCCGAAGGAATATAATCTCTCCTGTGTCAAAAAGTTGAAAATCCAATGGGGCAAAGAACATATTTGTTATTTTCAGAAATATCGAGTGTTTTCTGGTAATTAGATTAATCATTGGGAGAGGTAGATGCAATTGACCTCATTGCTCAATGCTCTCTTCCTGAGGTTTTTCTGTTATTAAACATGTCAGGTAAAAATGGTGAGGACGAGGCTCCGAAAAAGCGATCTAGAAAGCACATTGCCAATACAGAGCAACACCATTTTGCACTAAAACATGGGTCATTGTTGGTGATGAGAGGATATACTCAACGGGATTGGCTCCATTCTGTGCCTAAGCGTGCAAAAGCTGAGGCAGTACGAATCAACCTCACCTTCAGGCACATTCTTTGAAATGTGAAACATTTTGTTCCCAGAAATGGATCAAAGAGTTGTTCAGAGTGGGTCGTGGTCACGAAGGAAGGGCAAACTCGGATAGTCGTTTTTTAAATTATCACTGATCATAACTAAGTAACTTACTACTACGTATAACAGATGTACAGGTTACTGTAAATAAGTTGGATTTTTTTGTTGTTAAAAGGTATAATTGTAATGATCTGAACATGGCATGTGCTGTTTTTTGCAATAACCATAGTTAGTTAAATACGATACGGGAATTAAACGCGGTTTAATACATACGCGTTTTATTCGGTAACATTATTGCCAATAACTACCTTCACTAGTATGCCACCCCGGGATGACTCGCTTTTGGGGAAAATAATAACCAAATAAAGATTATGGAAGTACGGAGTATTTGGAATAAATGGGCCAAAATAAGGATCCACCTTGTGTGGTAATGGCCTAATGGGAGCCGGACCTAGAATTTAATCGGGTGGGTAAAAAGTGTTTTTTACGTTTTTGTCTTTTGTTAGTGATATGCGTTTTCTTGTGTTGGCTGAGAGTATGGTTTTGGAGAGAGCAAAGTGGAGGGCGCATATCCGTGTGGACGATGGATGTCTTTTCTACCTTTCCTTTCTTTTTTCTTTTATCGTTTATCTTCGTTATCTTTTTATATTCTTATGTTATTTTTATCTTCTAGCTTTATATGTTCTTTTATTTTTTATCTTTTATCTTTCTTATATTCTTGTGTTATTGTTATCTTATATTTGTTTATTTTTATTTTATTCATTTTATCTTACTTTTTTTTCTTCCTTTTCTTGTTCGTCTTCTCTTTTTGGCATCAATATCATAGATGGATTCATGTTAGCTGACCCTAAATTCTTTTGGGATTAAGGCTTGGATGTTGTTGTTGTTGCTGCCGCCTTTTGGTACTGGTTCCTGGAACTTGTCCCAAGTGGTTCTGGTTCTTCTAAAATAAGGTCAGAGACTTAGAGTTAACCATTGTAGTATTGTCATTTATAGGTAGGGGTGGACGGTGGACCGGTTCCGGTTCGGGCCCGGCCGGGCCTCGGTTCATGAAAGGGGAGGCCCGGAACCGGCCCGGGTAACCCCGGGTCCGGGTCTCGGTTCATGTATTTTTTTTGGCTTTTCCTAATTAACCCTCAACCCTCCCCCCTCACCCCAAACCACCTCAAATGGCCCATCATACCCAGCCCAACCCAAAAATTTAAAAAAAAAAGAAGAAAAAAAAAGAAAAAAAAATAAATTGGCCCGGACCGGGCCCGAACCGGCCGGGCCGGTTCACTATTTAGCAGGCCCGGGCCCGAACCGCCTACCTCATCGGGTCGGGTGGCCCGAACCGGGCACCAACCGGTTCACCGGGCCGGGCCGGTTCCGGGCCGGTTGGCCCGGCCCGAGTCCACTCCTATTTATAGGCTAAAAACAAGAGCTAGATTGGAGACTTGGAGTGCTTTTTTAGGTGAGACTTGGAGTTAAAGCATTGCTTTTTATAACTGAAAGTAACCGGTCCCAAATTCCCAATTAGAACCGACTTGCCCATGTAAATGATTCTTAAAAGCAAATATTTTTTCTTAAATAGTGAAAAACACGTTTAAAAGTTTTGAAGACTTCAGTATTGTGATTCTCATCACTCATGCAGGTAGTGATTCTCATCCACCATGGGTAGCAACTCTTGAAATATGTAATATACTGGTGTTTAAAAATAAGACTTCAATAATAATCTCATATGCATTTGCGGTTGGCCTTCGTTTTTATTTATTGTGTAAGATGGCAACATAGGAGATTGTCTTATTTTATCTACTATCTCGAGTCGAGAGCGGCTTGTTATATACACTTTTTTGTATACATTTTGCGCAATTGTTTGCGCTAACACAACTTCTAACCTCTAACAAGGGACGGAGAGTTGAACTCGTTTCAGTCTCATATTATGTTATACTATATACAACTTAGATATTAGTAACACATGTACAAGACTAGATCAAATCAGACAAATTGCGTCCAAAATTGCATGGACTGACAGCTGTTTCATAACAAAGAAACGTAAAGAGTTTAGTGAGTCATTTTGCTTTATTCCATCATAATCTCAAGCCAAAAGATAATGAATCTTTGACTTCATTGCAAATGATGGAAAAAGATTAGGCTAGACTACATTTTAAAAATACTACATATTCCCTCGGTTCCTAAATAAACTTCCAACTTTCCTTTTTCGTCCGTTCCAATTAAAACTTCCACTTTCCCTTTTTGGTAAAGAATTTGTGGTTCACAAAATTTCTTACACATTTCTCTCTCCTCTGCACAACTCTCTACCACACAATATCCACTATCTTAAACTTTGTGTCAAACCCATTTGGAAGTTAAAATGGGAACGGATGTAGTAGTAAATATACATTAATCGGCCGTTGAATAGACTTGACCAAATGTTTTTTTTTTAATTTTTACATATATGATATTGGTGTCATATGAAAGATCATAAAAAATTATTTAATTTGATATAATTTTTATAAAAAAAGGAGCAAAATTGGAAAAGTTATACTACATAACATTTTACAAAAAGGGAAAATTGGCCACATGGCAGCAAGTTATTGGCGAAGAGTAAATGTCAAATTGTTAGGCTTTGTGGTCCTACGAGACTTCCTAAAAAAATTAGGAAACAATAAGGTCCATTAAAATTAAAAATTAATATCAATGAGGGGAGATACGTGGTGCGCCTAAGGATAAACTTGTCCACATTTGACAAAGGCTAAAAGGTCAAATAGTTACATGAACCAACTTAAAGTGTTCAATTAGCTCTTATATAAGAGATTCTGTCCGGCTGTCGCCAATTGTGGAAGTTCCCAGTGAATTTTTTTGATGAAATTTTTTGAACATCTTCTTCATTAAGTCTAGTTTACTCATACCAAATTTCAGCTAAAAATTCAACCGGGAAGACAATCAAATGATTTTTTGAAGATAACTGCGCAGTTAAACAGCGGAGTACATTTCGCAAAATCATTTGACTGACTTCCTGATCTAATTTTTAGCTGAAATTTGATATGGGTAAACTAGATTTAATGAAGAAGATGCTCAAAAAAATTCTTTAAAACTTTTTATCGGGAACCGTCCTAATTGGCGACGGTCGGCCAGAACCTTTATATAAGATACTCAACAAAATTCATAAAATAGGGCAGAACCTCCTGTATAAAGTACTTATATATAGGAGGCGCGGGGAGCAGGGACTGTATCAGAAGCAGCGTCTGTACACCCTCCGGATGTCGGAAAATACTCAGGTAAAGGATCATCTCGATACCTTCAATCGTATCATTCTTGATTTACAAGGGGTTGATGTGAAGATTGATGATGAGGATCAAGCCCTAATTCTGTTGTGTTCTTTACCAAACTCGTATGAAAAATTTGTGGATACTATGTTATATGGTAGGACCACAATTTCTATTAATGATGTTAAAGATGCCTTGTTGTCTAAGGAACTAAAAAGGAAAGTCTCTGGGGAAGAGGGATTTAGTTCTGGTGCAGGGTTATATGCGGGAAGGAGTAGATCACAGGAACGGAATAATGAAAGGGGGAGGCCGCGCTCCAAATCTAGATCGTCTAGTAAAGTTAAATGCTATCTCTGTAAAGAGAAGGGGCACATAAAACGAGATTGTCTTCAAAAGAAAAGGGTAATTTTAAGGGGGAATCTAGTAACAGCGGTAGTGCTACAGTAGCTCAGGAAAGTTCTGATGAAGGTGATTCTGGTTATGTTCTTACTGTATGTAGTGCAAGTACTACTGACACTTGGATTATGGATACCAGTGCTTCTCACCATATGACTTTCTCTCGTGATCTGTTTGTTACTTTTAAAGAGTGGAATGGAACGGTGAAGTTGGGTGATGATGGGGTACTTACCATAAAAGGCAGTGGGACGGTTCAAATCAGAATGCACGATGGTATAGTCAGAATGTTTGACTGCTGGTATGTTCTTGACCTTAGGAAGAACCTAATTTCTCTTGGTACCTTAGCGAAGAATGGTCTCAAGTATCATGGTGAAGGTGACTGAGTCAAGGTTTCAAAGGGTGCTCTGGTGATGATGAAGGGTAAACTGCAGCATGGTATTTATTTCTTGCAGAGCAGTTCGGTTTTGGGAACGGCGGCGGTTTCTCAGTCTTTGAATAAAATTGATGATAAGACGAATCTGTGGCACACGCGGTTGGTTTACAAATTTTGAGTAAGCAGGGATTGCTTGGTGGCGATGTGACAGGGAAGTTAGAATTTTGTGAGGCTTCTTGAGTATGTTCACTCAGATTTGTGGGGTCCTCCCATAAAATCGCAGGGTGGTTGTTCTTATTTCGTAACGTTCATCGATGATTATTCAAGAAAGGTCTGGGTGTATTTTCTGAAAACAAAGGATGAGGTGTTTGGGAAGTTCAAAGAGTGGAAGACTATGGTAGAAAAACGGACGGGTAAACAAGTCAAGACTCTGAGAACTGATAACGGGTTGGAGTTCTGCAACACTACATTTGATGACTTCTGTAAACAAGAAGGTATAGTGAGGCACCGCACTGTACGACACACACCACAATAGAATGGAGTTGCAGAACGTATGAACCAAACACTCATGGCACGTGCACGGTGTATGCGCATATTTGCTGGTCTATTGAAACAGTTTTGGGCTGAAGCAGTTAATACTGCTAGTTATCTGGTTAATAGATCTCCATCAACTGCAATTGATTTCAAGAGTCCTCAAGAGGTATGATCCAGAAAACCCTCTGATTACTCTAATCTAAGAAGATTTGGATGCCCTGCTTATGCTCATGTGAATGATGGTAAACTGGAGCCAAGGGCGGTTAAATGCATATTTCTAGGATATGCTACAGGAGTTAAAGGATATCGACTGTGGTGTACAGAAGGTAAATCTCCTGGTAAATTTCTTATTAGCAGAGATGTAACCTTTGATGAATCTGCTATGCTTGATCAGAGTAGAGGTTGTTGTGAAAAATTTGCAGGTACTAAAGATTGTGGTGCTGACCAGAAGTTGGAGTTTGAAGTCCCTGAACAAACTGTGATAGAGGAAGAACAGCATGATAGTACTGATCAACCTGAACAGCCTGATCAGTCAATACTTCAAGGTGGTCCGCTTGAGGAGGAGGCTGGGGATAATGGTGCTGAGGTTGATGATTCCATAGCAGCAAGGAGGGGAAAAAGAAATATTCAAAGACTAGCTAGGTATGTTAACACATGCAATATTGATTCTATTGCATATGCTCTGGCGGTTGGTGATGATGTTGGATCTGATGATCCAAAGTCCTATAAAGAAGCTATTTCGAGTAAGGATGCAGAAAACTGGGTGATTGCTATGAATGAAGAAATGCTTTCGTTAGAGAAAAATAAAACCTGGGAACTTGTAAAATTGCCAAAGGGGGTGAAACCAGTGGGATGCAAATGGGTCTTTAAAATTAAGGAGGGGATTCCTGGAGTTGAATCTGCTAGGTTCAAGGCGAGACGGGTGGCGAAAGGGTTTTCTCAAAAGGAGGGGATAGACTATCATGAAGTTTTTTCTCCTGTCGTGAAACACAAAACAATCCGAGTTCTTTTAGCTATGGTGGGTGCATTCAATCTGGAGCTTGAACAGCTGGATGTGAAGACTGCATTTCTTCATGGGAATCTAGAAGAAAGGATATACATGTCTCAACCAGAGGGATTCAAAAGTTTTAAAAAAAGGCCAGGTCTGCTTGTTGAAAAAATCACTGTATGGTTTGAAACAGTCTCCTAGGCAGTGGTACAAGAGGTTTGAATCCTTCATGGTCTCTCATGGGTACAATCGAAATCAGTTTGACAACTGTGTTTACTCGAAGAAGGTTTCCGGTGATTCTTATGTTTATCTGTTGTTGTATGTGGATGATATGTTAATTGCAGCCAGTAATATTGCCGTAATTAATGACTTAAAAGCTTTGTTAAAGAGTGAGTTTGAGATGAAAGGTCTGGGAGCAGCAAAGAGAATACTGGGTATGGATATTTGGCGAGATAGAAAAGTAGGGCGGTTATGGGTTTCTCAGGAAAAATATATTGAGAAGATACTGCAGTCATTTTCTATTGATCAGTCTAAACCGGTAAGTACTCCTTTGGCGGCTCATTTTGAACTTGATCGGAGCACTATACCGGCTACAGATGGGGAGATGCATTACATGAAGACGGTTCCATATTCAAGTGCTGTTGGAAGTCTTATGCATGCCATGGTTTGTACGAGGCCGAATTTGGCACATGCGGTTAGTGTGGTGAGCAGGTTTATGTCAAATCCGGGTAAAGCTCACTGGGTAGCTGTTAAGTGGATCTTGCGATATTTAAAGGGTGCATCTGGTGTTTGCTTGGTGTATGACTCGAAAGGACAGGATGATGGTTTGGTTGGCTACGCAGATTCAGACTATGGCGGTGACTTGATTAAACGACGATCACTGACTTGTTATATCTTCACTTTGTTCAGATGTGCAGTCAGTTGGAAGTCTACGCTACAACCTACGGTTGCATTGTCGACGACTGAGGTGGAATACATGTCGATGATTGAGGGTATAAAAGAAGGTGTCTGGTTACATGGTTTGGTGCAGAGTTTGGGTCTGAAGCTGGAGAAACCAATATTATTGTGTGATAGTCAGATTGCCTTGAGTCTGGCTAAAAATCCGATGTATCACGAGAGAACAAAACACATTGATGTGCGGTTGAACTTTGTTCGTGACTACTTGGAGGAAGATAAGTGTGCTATTCAGAAAATAGCAACTGAGCATAACCCAGCAGATATGTTGACAAAGGCACTACCGGTGGAGAAGTTCGAGCATTGCTTGAACTTGGTTAATATTCGCAGGAGGTAAAGTCCCTTCGGGGAATCTGGTGCAGGAACTGGAGGAGACGAAGAGAGAAACTGTGGATCAGTTGGCGGTTGGAAGAAATTCCAAGTCAAGGTGGAGATTGTTAGAGTATGACTTGGATTTAGCTTGTTGAACAAGTTGAGCTATTTTAGGCAATATGTTATGACATCCCACACCGTGGGTGATTTTTTATCTTTGGGGTTTTTTCTACTCCTATATAAGCATAGCTATGGTTCCTAGTTGAATGGGTTGTAACAATCTTTGATTCAGTATAATAAAACTCTCCGATTCCTGCCCCGTGGACGTAGGTTGACGCACTGTCGGCCGAACCACGTTAAATTCATGTGTCTTTATTTACTTGCTTTCTTTTTTTTGCCTAACATCTTGTAACAACTAACAATCAATCCAACTACTTTACAAAGATTCATAGAGTTGTTTATTTTCTTAATAGTATAATAAAAGCTACGTAATACAATATTCAACACTGAAAGTAATCTTCACAAAAATTCATGAGAATGCAAATCCACAAACGTATTAACATTTGTGTTGAAGTACAAATAATGTCTTTGCCTTTTTGTGATATTCTAAGCTGCACTGTATTGATATTTCCCAAACTTGACATTCTTTTCTTTAAAGAAAGCTATATGTAGTTTATATTACTATAATCTCTTAAAAATGAGACACAGTTTTTCATTTTTAAAATTTAAAAATGCCTGATAACAAAAAAGGAAAAAACCCCAACGGCCGTCTCCCCTCTTTGTAGGGTAGAGATTTACCGGCGATCCTATCAATATGGGATTGGAGCGGCAGATTATACTGATTTTAAGTGTTCTAACGCTTGAGAGTTGAGATTGTAAATACGTCAGAAGAGAGCGTTGGCGGATGAACGAGTTGCGCTTGAGATTTTGTATAGGTGCTGGATCGTGAAACCTTGGTTGGCCGTTCCGACGGTGATGGAGTTGGTATTCACCCATATTGCAAGAGTTCATCCTCCTCCGGAACCACATCCATATCAAGAAGAGTTTTTTGGAAAGATTTTATTTCATTATTACTCTATAGTAGTACTTGTTTATGTTCTAGTCCGAGTAGATTTGGTTTGAATGTTTGGATTATTGGAGTTCTTTTGATAGACAAGGTTTCAGATCTGTTCATTTTCGGCTTAAATTTGTCCGTTTCGGATTTAGCGAGTCATGTTGCTTTGTATGAGGTGGTTGACTCTATATCACTCATAGGTTCATGATTGGATAAAAGTTGTCTTTATGCGTTCTCATTTTTAATATAAAGTCACTCTTTTATGATTAAAAAAGTTAAAAAGGCTTGTTCATGTAGGGATGGGTGATTATTCCTGGGGAAAAGGGCCAAAATGGACACTGAGGTTTTTAATGAAGAGCGTATTGGACATTAAGGTTTTTTTGAGATCAAATAAACATAAAATTAAACTTTTCGGACCGCATCGCCCACCCCCTAACATTTCCCGTTAACATCTTCTCTTCCCCGTTATCACCCTGCGATTACAATCTCCCTAATTGAAATTTCTAACCCTAACTCACTTCCATGGCTAATAAGTGTGAGATTGTGCGAGTGAGTTGAGAAGATTAGAAGGTGTTCAACTGCACGACCAAGGTTACAATACGTACGACTAATCTGAGGTAATATTTGAGTGTTGTTTTAGTTTGTTACAATGAATGGGTTGGTTAATCTCAGATTCAACCATAGCGGGAGGTGGGTTATGAAACCAAAGTTACAGTATGTGAATGGGGACGCTGATACAGTTTATGGGTTTGACCCTGATTATATGTGTTATCATGACATTTCAAGAAAATACAAGGATGACTTGGGGTTTAAAACACTGAAAAATATATATGTTTTAGAACCTGGAAAGGATTTGGACAATGGACTTTTCTTAGTTCAGGATGATGACACTATAAAGAAAGTGTTAAATCGTATAAGGAGATTTTCTTGGATTGATACTATAGAGCTATATGCTGACCATCAACTGGACGAACCCATTTTGATTCCCCTGATAGAAGGTTCATTTTCTGAAATTGGTAACCATGACATTGGTGATGAGAATGATGGTGGGGTGGGTGATGAGTCTGCCAATACAGATTGGAGAGACCAAAGTGATGAAGTGAATACAAGTGGTGTCCCAAATGGGTATGTTACAGATGAAGAATCAAATAGAGGCTCAGAAGATGAAGAGAGCAACAATTCTGATCCATCCTCTGATAATGATGGTACAATCAATTACAATGCAACAGATGGGTCAGATTGTTTTATGAATGGATGGTTGCTTTCTAAAGGGTGTTTGTAAGGGTAATCTGCTGAGTGCAGTGGGGTTGGATGGAAATGGGCAGATGGTCCCTATAGCATGGGCTGTCATTGATAAAGAGAATAAGTCTAATTGGAGGTGGTTTTTGAGTTGGCTTGTTCAGGAGTTACACCTGAATACTGGTGGTGAGTTAACACTTATTTCTGATATGCAAAAGGGGCTGATTAGTGCTGCTCAAGAGGTCATTCCAGATGCAGAGCATAGGTTCTGTGCCCGACATGTGTATGCTAATTGGTCAAAAAAATGGAGAGGCAATGAGTTTTGCAAAAAGTTTTGGATATGTTCCTGGAGCACATATGAAGAAGAGCTGCAGCTGAATCTTAAAAAGCTTGGAAAATTGAACACTGAAGCTGCTTCTGACCTTTTGAAGTATCCAGTTCAAACTTGGTGTAGAGCATACTTTAGTAATAGGTGTTCATGTTGGATGGTTGAAAATTGAGCACTGAAGCTGCTTCTACATCTGCCAGTGCTACACCTCAGACATCATCAAGAAAAGGGAGACTACAAACTTGTGGGATATGCCATAAGGAGGGCCATAAGAGAGCTACATGTCCTAATAAAGATAAAGATGTAAGTAGTACATGACTTTGAAGATGTAAACTGCAATATTGATTTATTGTGTTTTCATGACTTTTTTTATCTGTTTCTTAGGCAAGTGTTCAAGGAGCAGAAGGGAATGGACCTATACCTGTGAAGAGACCTGCTAGTGTTGCTTTTTCAGCAATTCCTACCACTACAGAATCAACTCCACCAACAAATCCACACACTAATGCTAAAAGGAAACTGGTAAGTCTAAAGTGACATGTAGAAGAATAGGAAGGAAGATAAGTAAACAATCTGTAACAGGCTTTGGGTGCCATGTGGATGTGAACACTGGGGAGAAGACTTTAAATGTGAGTATCAATAGGTTTCCAGTGTTATGTAAGTGGTTTAGTTTGTTGTTGTATTGAAATAAGTTTTCTTATTTCTAATTTTACCTTCATGTACTTGTTTATGCTTGTAGCCTGGGATGAGCAGTGAGGAAATAGTTTCAGATTTCCAGCCTGAAATGCCACATGACCCTGATGTTACAGTCAGATTTGCAATCCCAAATGAAAAAGATATAAGAGGAGCTGCCCGGGCTGAGAAGCAGTTGGATGTCCCAACATATAGAACAATACCTTTCAAGGGTGATGGTACAGAGGTGCATAATCCAACAAACCTACCTTTTCAACCACCTGGTTTGCAATGGAATGGGAATGCAGCAATCAGCTCTAAGCAGTTGTTACAGAAGATGCAGATCAGGAGGTCGGGTTCCATTCCAAAGTGATGAATGAAGACTCTTATGTTTCATTAGAACACTTTTGGATGCAAATATGGATGAATGAAGACTCATATGTTTCATTAGAACACTTTTGGGCACTTTGTATTTATAATGCTTTTTTTGTATTTTGCAACCTCATTAACAATCAGTATTATGATCCCTAATGATGTGAAGTTATGATATAACATCTTTTTTTGTTTATATATGTTGTTTATTCAACCAGACCATAACAACACTACAATAACCAAAGTGTTACAAGGTCAACACTGTTTACAGCAACATTTTTTCAAACTGTTTACAAGGTCATAACCAAACCATTTTACAAGAAACTGAAACTAACATACTAACACACATAATACTACAATAAGGACACATAACAACACTACAATAACATAATTATTCTTCATTTTAGTTTTGCTTTCCAATTCCAGATGGGCTGCATCATTCATACTGTTGACTTCTTCAAGTTCACTCTCCAACTTTTGAGCAACACTATCACATTCCAATTCAAACATTGCAGATTGGAGCCTCCTATTCTCCCGTTTCAGCTCATTGATAACATGCCTTGCTCTGTCCGTTAATGGCTCATCATGCCATTCAAAGAAGCCACATCCATCCTTCTGAGTATACACAAGAGTATGAATATCAATATGAATATAAATAAATTATACATATTCATGATCTTCTCCAGTTCTCATATGTGAAAAGAACAATTAAAAGCATACTTCATAATTAGGACATCCATGAAATCTTCTCCCTGGATTCTTGTCAGTCCATGAAGTCCAAAGTGGCGCCTTGACGCGAGTTCCATTTGCATTCATGCATCTGCAAAACCTAGAACGCCCAGAATACGGTCGCTCATAGATGCTTCGAAGCTTCACTGAATCACCGGACTCAGATTTCCGTGCCTCAGACGACCTCGATGCTGAAGGACTAGCCGACATCACTGCTTTCTTCTTCATAATCTGTCTCAGATTGTATTTATTAGGTATATATCAATTAGGTCTAATCGCAGGGTGATAACGGGGAAGAGAAGATGTTAACGGGAAATGTTAGGGGGTGGGCGATGCGGTCCGAAAAGTTTAATTTTATGTTTATTTGATCTCAAAAAAACCTTAATGTCCAATACGCTCTTCATTAAAAACCTCAGTGTCCATTTTAGCCCTTTTCCCTTATTCCTGTCACGCTTTAGTTTTGTGTTTTCTGAATGTAACTGAAAATGATAATGATTATTCACAAAAACAAGTCCTTGACAAAATGACAATCAATTATAACATGACTTGAGCAAGCGCCGAAGAAGATTGGAATACCAAATACCTAGTACTCCATCCGTCCCGCTAACAATGGGACAAGAGGGAGTGACATACAAATTAACAAAAAGTGGTTTATGTGGTTGATATTGAATTGATAAATTAAGAATAAAGCAAGAATGATTTAGAGCCACACAAATTTTACCAAATTTGGTATGAGACAATCTGAGTGGGACGGACCGATAAGGTAAAATGGGACAATCATAGCGGGACGGAGGTAATAATACATACGCAGCTCCCAAACTTTAATGCCAAAAGCAACTAGCAAGTAGGGGTGGATTCAGGCCGGGCCGGGTCTGGGTCGGGCCTAGACCCGGACAGGCCGGCGGGTCTAAATAGGTGGACCCGAGACCGGCCCAGGTAGCCGGGTCTGGTCCGGGCCTCGGGCTTGGTTGTTTTTTTTTGCTTACCTACCTATCCCTGCCCCCCCACCCCGCACCCCCCCAAACCCCTCCTAAACATGAATCCCAACCCGGGTGGAGCCCAAAGTCCCAAACAAATGAAAAAAACAAAACAAATCAATTTGGCCCTAACCGGGCCCGGGCCCGACGGGGCCAGCCTTGTTTTGGGTGACCCGAGCCCGGACCGGAAACCCCTCAGGTCGGGCCTACTCGACCGGTCACTGACCGGGCCACCGGTTCGGGCCGGGCCGGAACAGTGCCGGTCCCGGGTCAGGCCACCCGGCCCGAGTCCACCCATACAAGCAAGTGCTAAAAGGGGTTGCAAACTTTATCATTATTCTACTGTAACCGTATTTCTGGCGTAGTGATGGTGAAGTAATAAGTTTCACATTGAAAGTCCACAAACCGTGGTGGCAAGTATGGTAGTAGCCATCTATGGTTGTGGCATCCAGCAACAACTCAAATGCAGTTACTCTGCAGAGCCTGGAGGTATAAGTCATTTAATGTTTTGCTTCCAAAGGACATCTTCCAAGAAATGAGTACACCAAGTCCATCTGATATAAACTACCAGATCAGACTTGTGTGGTTTGTACTACACCTGAACAAAGAAAGACGCCTGGCCTCTCTTCCGGTCTGACAAATGACAATGCTCAACAGATAATAATTAATTATTTAATTAACGAAGGTACAAATATAGAGAATACAATGGTTAATAGATCTATGAGTTAAATGATTTAAGCACAAATGCCAAAAAACTTCTTTTATAGAGTTTGCAAAATATACAAAGCTCAAGAAAAGCGCAAACAGTACAGAAAAAGGTCAGTTCCTGCGCAAATTATGGCTATCTTAGCTATATTAGAGCTGTACAGGAGGTGTAAAGGAGTCTTGTGGCTGGGTTCAAGAGAAGGCTAGGCACAAATTTTGAGAGCCGTAATTAGTTATCCTAAAAAAACTACACTCAGCCTAAAAAATGCTACACTTGGCTCGCTATAGATGTCATCCGTACTTCACTGCTTGTGATTATTGTCGACCGTTATTATGATTAAAACCTTGTAGCAGCTTTCTAAGATACAAAGGGCGAGAGACTGCTCTGGCCCCTGGGTGTGCTCAACTCATTGCTAATTAAAAATTAATATAAAAGCCTGTCACTGCTTCTGTTCAGCCGATTTCCACACCACCCGACGCTGCCACATAATCTGCCAAATAGACACAAATGAACATCATCAGTATCCACAACAACTACTACTTGGGTTGTTAGGTTGTCTCCATAGAAAAAAGGTAAGTCACACACTCACACTTTTACTCTTTTAGTCCCTCTACTGTTTGATCTGGGACCTGCCATTTAGTTGTAGACAGACTCCATTTGTTACATAATTGGCTTGTTCTGCTTATTTTGATTATCACTGGAAAAAGTAGCTTTTGACCGACTTATTTGGTAAGATAAAATGAATGTTAGCAAACGCTCTTCTTTTTTAGAAAAACCAGCAGATCCAGCCAAATAACCGTTACTGAATGGGCCATTAATCCCACAATCATTGTAGGAATTGGGCTACAATTAGTCCATCTCCTTAAAATCACTACTTGCATTTAGATGGGGCACTCCAGGGGAGTAGTGCCCTACCTAAACACTAATACTCAACTGTGTGAACAGTGATTAGAACGGAAGAGACTAACCATAGCTAAATTCTTATAACAAATGAAAGACTGAGTTTAGGAATAAATATGGCATGGAAGCCCCAAGTTAAATATGCTAAACATATGGGAATTGAAGGGGTGATTTTCCCAGCAAAATATATAAACAAGGATGTGAAGTTAGAATGTAAATAACAAAATTTTCATACAAGAGTCTCGTTGTCAGAAATATCTGCATCTGTAGCAGGTGTGGCTTCCACCTCTTCCCCTGATTCCATTGGACTGCCCAGAATATCCGGTCTATCCCTTTCACGCTCCTCGCCTGATGAAGACGTTTCTTGTTCATCAGATGTGGATGAGAAAAGACAGGGAGCGCCCGGCTGTTCCTCCGCTTTATGTTCATCAGATGTGGATGAGTCATTCTCCGCATCATTCCTGTGTTGCTCATCAGAACCTGAGCTTTCATCCCTCTCAGACTGATCGAGGTCAGATAAACTTTGCTCCACGTTTCCTTCTTGTTTTCCTTCAGGAAATTGGAAAGCTAAATACCTTATTCTCTGAAAGCTGATATAAAATAATGTCGACTCCATAAAGCTTAAATTCAACTAAAAACTCTGATACTGTAGACTAAGGACTGGGAATGTATGTTCAAATAGAACCACACATTTAATGCTTCAACATGTAAAATGACCCCCCTGCTGCCATCTTTCAAACCCTTTTTATCCCTTATAATACTTTTTTCACATAATTTGTCAAAAACTTGCCTAAAACACAGTGGCATGTTAAACAAGTTGCATTTCGCCAAACCAACATAAATTCTAAAAAATTAGTATGGTTTATGACAGTTTGTACCCTATATGCATTGATTGTAATTGTGCAATGCAATTGCGCGTCATGGTGCGTCACATCAGTTCTCAGTTTAGTTTGGTTGACTTTTATTCAGTTTTTCTCAGTTTCGGTTCGGTTTAATACAGCTTGGAAGAAATACTACCAAAGTCGAACCAAATTACATATGGAACGGTTTCCGTTCGGTTAAACCAAACCGATCTGCCCACCCCTAGTAAAAGGCATTGTCTCTGGCTTGGAAGTGTGGCGTGCACAATATTGCAGTGATGCATACACAATATTGCATATGCAATTAGGCGCTGAGAGGTGTACGCAATAGGAGGTTAGTGTGTAAGGGTATTATTTGGGCTCACGTGGATCACTTTTAATTTTTATTATTGATGTTAAGATCCCCATTTCAAAGTTCAAACCACTAGATATTGATGATGCGACTCTCCAGTCATCAATCTAATAAATTTAAATTTTGATATGTAAGGAACTTTGTTTTGATGAACTGTTCGGAAATTTTTGGTATTATGTGGTACTTTAAACGTATTGCTTTGTTAGGATTATGGCATCTTATAGTTTGTTTTAATATGACACTTGATGAATAAGTTTTATTATGTTTATATGTACGCTTAATGGTGGCATACACCATTAAATATATATATACACACACACGCGCGCATACATAGGGTACGGTTCTGGTGAGAACACTTCTTAACGTGAGAAACGAGAACACTCCAAAACGATGCACATATTGTTCACGAAAATGCGCATTTATAGTTAAAATAATGCAAAAATCAAATGTGCACATATAAACTTTTGCAATTGAAATGCACCTTTTCCAATATTTGACATGCACATTTGTGTTTTACATGATGCACGATACCTAAATCCAAGGTTCATAACCACTCCCATGTCTCTCCTTAAATCATTTTCTCATATGATCCCTACTCTATATACATATTTATACATATACGTAGATTACGGATTAAATGAGAACAGTGGTTAACGTGAGAACCCCACATATACCCCAATATGCACAATAAGGCTCGCACATTGCACTTTTTCGCGTAAAACAAAATATTAACCAAAATGTCCCTGCAATTAGTTAGTATTGGCTTGGTTTGAGCAAAGTAAAAAAGTGCATTAGCCGGGCTTTATTGTGCATCACAATGGGTTAAATGTTTGTTCTCACATTCTTACGTTAAGCATTGTTCTCTTTGGAACCGCACCCTATATATACATATATGTGTGTGTGTGTGTGTGTGTGTGTGCGCGCGCGTGCGCATACATAAGGAAAAGATCTTGTCCAGCCGTCCGGACGGAACCTTCTGCCCGGCCGCCGTCGTTTGAGGTGATTTTCAGTGGAATGTTTTGATGAAACTTTGTGAGTGTTCTTTATGAAGTGTAAAACTTCAGCTTAAAATTCATAAGGAAGCCAGTTAAATAAATTATTGACACATATAGGGAGTTGTTCTAGAGAAAACACCCCTTATTGTGAGAAGTGAGAACACATCCTAACCCACCATCTCATTAAATGAACGGCCATTAAGTAATTGACTCACAATATAAAGATGCACTTCGTCACATGTAATAAAGGAAAGGAGGGGGCGTGCAACTAATCAAGGGCATTGAGGTAATTCTATAAAATTCATTTAATAGTGCAACGGTTGTAGGCTTGCACTTTCCAAAAAAGTAGGTAAAAATAAAATCTCAAATCATATAAAATGCTTTTAGTTTAAAATTGATTTAACTTCTTAAATTATAATCCAATTTTGTAAAAAATTATATCAAATTAAATATTTTTTATCTTTCATATGACACCAATATTGAATATATAATTTCTTTTTTTAAAAAGTATTATATGTATACAACAAACCACAACAAGCATCTCTAGTTATCGCGCACACAAGAACTTGTATTAAACGCACAACAACCAATGTCTGATGCACACAAATAGAAGTATCTCACAAATAGTTTGTATGTAAAGCATCAGAGCAACTATCTCAATCACAAAAACAGTATCTAATGCACAACAATTAAGAACTAATATCGAACACAAAAGTATTTCATATAATTTAAACTATTATATAGTACACATCACAGCACAATACGTATATAGTATATACGTTAGAAAACTCATATCTAGCACATATTATGGACATAGAGAATCGCAACAAATACACAATGCACAAGAAACGATATCTAGCACACAACCCCGAATACTGCGTTTGAGTGACACAATAATGCAGTAGTGAATTGTACAGGTGCATATGAGTGAGCAAAATTATGCAAATGCTAAGACGTAAAGTACGTTAAGACGTAAAGTATGTTGAACCGATATCTAGCACACAACCTTCAATATCTAATGCACATGAACCGGTATCTAATTCACAGTTGATATATAACATAACAATGAAAATACGTGTTCATGGATATACAATTGTATATGGTGAACAATGAAAATAAATAAGAGTAATTGTGCATTGGAATTACAAAATAGTGTGAATAAAGGTTGTGAATAAGGTGGGTTTTTTTAGATGACGATTGGTTGAGTATG